GAGGATCCAATGACAAAAACAACTCCATTTTTAGTGTGGAGTTAAAATATCTTCACTTTTTCTTCTGTTTTTTTTTCTCACCCAGCCTTCTAGCATTACTTAAATAGCTAGGAAACAGATTAGGATATTGCTATTCCTATTCCTGAAAATGTAATATTAATTAGAATTATAGATTTCTTGTTCTTGGTGATTTGTCAGTGCTGGTAAAGCATTGAGATACTATGGTCTCCTATCCCCTTTTTCTTGTAATAATATAACCATAATGCAACATAAGAAAACCATCTTTTAAAGCAAGTAATTCAAACAAATAATGGAGTTCTCTGGTCAAACATGACTGTCTCTGTGACTGGAGGAGCCTTCTCTGTGCACCTTCATGCTCTTACTTTAACATCCATTTAAAGCCAAGGGTCTACTCCTCAGAGTTGGAGGAAGATCAATCACTCAACATTTATCAGAGGCTTAGAGATAAAAGAAAAACTCACTTTGGGTGTCCTAATCTTCAAAGAAAAAGAGAAGGAAAAGGAGGTTACAACTCAAAGTGTATTTCCAAATGTCAGATTGAGCCTTCTGGGCAAATGTCTGTAGGGCGGGATTGAATGATTGAAAACACTTAAGTGGGACAGTGGTGATCACAAAGTACCCTGAACTGAGACCACAAAGGCTGGCCACAGAAAAGGAACTGAGCTGATCCTTTATCTCCACTAGGGGAGTGGTGACATCTCTTGCCCTGTTATTGTGGAGCCAAAATGGCCAAGGGAGATTGGGAAAAAAAGAATTAGAGTATTAGGCCACATTCCAGGGCTTTGATGTGATTAGAAATTATTGGAAATCTTCTGGGAAAATGTCAATTTCCTCTTTATTATTGGTAATGCTTGCTTAGGGTCATGCAATAACTTGAATTGTCCTAAAATACAATATGTAATTGATAAAATGTAGTGGTTTATTCTGCTTCCTCTGTTAATTAGAAATGGCATCAAATTGTTTCCTGAGCCAAACAAAATGTTAAGCTCTTTTGCCTTTAACTTTAATCCTAGATCACAGACCTGCCTCCTGTAGAAAACAGAGGCACATGGAACTTAAACAGGCAAGGATTCTGACTATGGCATTGCAGTCCTTTGCAGTCATTCAGGTGGCAATCGAAATTATCTAGCAGAAGAAGCTGCCACTGGCTGCAGACTGGGAAAAACTGAGAATGAGCCTTTTCAACAAAATATGGTAGAATTTGTCTAAACATTGCCAAACAGAAAATCACTTTTTTCCAAGCTCACATTTATTTAGCTCCTCCTACACACCTTGGGAAAAAAGGATTAGAGAGTTAAAGTCTTAGAGAAAAAGAGATAAGAATGAGGTTTGGAGTTTCCTTCTACGCAAAAAATGGAGAACATAATCTTCAACAAGTAAGACAGTTATGAGGATTACATTAGATATCATATGTAAAAGGGCCCAGCACAGTGCCAGACACATGAATGAAACTGAATGAATTTTAATTTTCTTCTTTCTTTCATACTTTATCTGATTTCAGAATTCCAAATGAAGACTAACTTAATCAGATAGATAATGAAACATTAACAAATAAGCTCATCCCTTTTCTGTTCACCCCCTTCAATGTTAATATTTCAAATTGATCTGAATTAATCAATATTCGTTTAACTGCACCAGCCAAATGGTACATAAAATTAAAATAGCTCACCATTCTCTCTCTAATCAATTGAAAACTAATGCTGGCAACATTTTCTAATTATCTGTGCAAACAGTGACCTTTCTTCTTGCTTACCAATTCTGAGGAGGAAATAAAACCTTGCAATTAGCAGTTTTCTTCTTGAAGAACTCTGACAAAAAGCTCACTCAAATGCATATACATTTTAAGTAAAGTTTGGAAAAAGTTCCCAGCTGGGAAATAAACAAGTTAATAAAATGTTTATCAGAAAACCAGTGTCTTGAATAGAAATAACCATGTGGAGCCATAATACGTCATTTATTTGTCATGTTTTGCCATTGCATTCTCTTACCTTTGATAAAACACTTCTTTGATATCAAATTCATCTATCTCAGAAATTACGTTTCTTCATCTAAATTGATATTATCTCCTCTTCAAAATGTCAATGTCGAGAAAGCATTTGTAGTTGTTTCTGGATTGTTTTGAACAATAATAAAACCTCCCATACTGGTAAATGTCAACTTTCTTCATTTGTATATTGTTCATTACGTAGATGGAAGTAGTAATTTCAGCATATTGTCAAGACACTTATTTGATATTCTTAATGGTTTTCAATCATATTCAAGAACAGAAACAAGGGATCTGCAGAGACTGGAGAGAGAGGACAGAAGGCTCTCCTGATGAAGTGAGGCATGTGCA